ACAATAAACTTTCATGCTAGCAGACAGCAGTGCAATTTTAGATCATCGTCGAGGCTTATACCGTGATTTCGAAAGAATTACCCCAGCAGAATATAGACCAAGTATGCAAACATTAGCAGCTCTCGGTCTGAGACTCCAGGAAGCTCCTGTTCAGATATTTGATTGTTACCTGGAAATGGAGAATATTCCACTGAACTCGAATGAGCAAACCATGATTCTGAGGCAGAGAAAACTAGAGCTAAGATCTGTTAAATTGCTGCTCAATCCGCTTGCCCTATCATGTCTACAAGCTGTTGACAAAGATCTTTGTAAGCCGACGATGAGATAGTGCGAATGAGCAATGGTCGAGAAAGCAAGTAGGATTTCGAGAGTAGTTTGTTATAATCGTTATCCTTGCAGTTAATTAAAATACTAGGTTACTCGAGTAGACGCAGATTCCATCATGGCCTGGCCGTCGTCGGTCTCAGAATGGCGTTTGATTGAAGATTCGAGATGAACGCCTCGTGGACAACATTTGCATAGGAGGGAATGGACACATGATACATCATTCTGTTGAAGGAAAGGAACCCTGGATTCACCTCTAACTATTCGACACAGCCCTCCAGATCCCAGTCTTTTAAGGCATTAAACGAGGAGACAAACCGCTTCAAAACTTCGCTTGATCTGCCCCGAAATGGTATTCAGATAGTTAGACTGGAAGAGACGAACAGAACCAACGGAGAACTGTTAATTTTTCTCAACATCACGTTGATTGTGGAAAAAGCTACAAAACTCCAAGCGATGCTGATTAAACCTGACAAACAAAGTTGGTTTACAGTGTAAAATCAGCCGCAAGGTAGATTAAACGTCATCTCTCGATGAGAGACCAAGTACACGCAATGGTATATGCTTCAGAAAACTGAAATAGCGATTAATGGAATGGGACGGGGTATAAAAAAAAGTGAAAAGTTGCATCTTTTTGGGTTATGAAGTGAATACGCAATGCCAAAGAAGTCTGAACCTGGCGTATAAGGAAAGTAGGATGGCCAGTGCATATCTACTCCACTACTCCATAAAAATGGAAATCAAGGCTGTACCTTGTGATGATTAAACTCTGGGACTATAGACTATATCATACTGCTTATCAGACTTAATATGCAGCCATCAAGCTGATAAAAACAAGGTGCAACGGCAACGAGGTGCTCCATTGAACAGCACGATCGCATGATTAGACCGGCGTACCATACTGGTCCGGTTATTCACAGGTCATCGAACATACTGCCCGTTTCATGGAGGGTTGCGCCAAAGCAACGCAGGGTTAACTCATTTCTCATAAGAATCCGCGGTAAAGTCAAAGGTTTCCCATTGAAAGGTTTCAATTTCGACACCTCCGAAAGTAAAACCCAATTTTTTTGCGCACTGTGTCACCCCCCCCCACATCATTGAGGAAAGGTCCATAGACCAACGAGGGACTACTGCCTCAACCATCGCATTGTTGACGATATTATTCAGCTGCGAAACACGGTCCATTAGGTAAGATGATAAGTACCAGCTGTCTGTTATCGAAAAAAACGAATGTTATAAATTTCGCCCCGTGACCATTTTCAAAATGAGGATACCCGAGAGGTTAGTGGAGCTGAAAGATATCATCCTGGAAAACAGAAATGTAATGGAAATGCAATATGTTGAGTACGTAGCTTGGTTTACTGCCCACCGATGGGTAGCTGTCATCGCTGAGCGGTACTCGTGGATCGTCAAAGGCCGATAGGTCGCCTTCTGAAATGAGGGGACGAAGTAATCCCCGGTTTAGAAGGACCTGTGTGCCAATGAGTGAAGGGTAGAGGAGGTGCTGCAATTGACTCCACCCATCTGTAAGTTGAAAACCGGTCATACAGGTGGATCAAGATTATGTTGTGACTTTTTGGTGCATTCGATGACACTTTTTGTGCATAAGCGAATGAATCATGAAGTTTGGAATTGCGGACATTAGCGACACAGAAACACTAATTTACTATCTACGCGGAATTCAACATGAAGTTTTTTTTTCCAGCAAACAGACGTGATTAAAAAACAAAATTCACATGACACAACAGGCCATCAAAAAGAATAATGGTGGAACTTGTAAAATTGTGCAATAAAATCAAATTTTGCTATCAAAAATAAAATTACTTCACAGCAAACATATTCAACTAGCGCTGACGGCATTAAATGGTCTGACGGTGCCTAAAAATGCGCTTCAACATGTCCACATCAGCGAACTGCGTGTCATTCAGACTGAAGAAATATGGCAGTTTTCACAAACATTCTGTTATAAAGCTGTGTTCTGTTTTCTGTGCTTACCAGCCATTTATGCCTTCAGCGAAAAGCAGGCAACTACTGCTAACTATACTGTAGGGACAAATTTCGCTTGACTTGTTAGGTCACTGAATCAAGGTGAAAGGAGACGAAGTATAAAACAATAAATATATCCGCTCTTAACTCCATTTTTGATACGTAAATGGAGACACAGCTAAAAATAGCGTCTGTCATGTGAAACGAATCACGTGCACATTTCTTCAGACAAATTGTATAGAGAAGTGTGAGATGCACCGATATTATCACATCAAAGATTTATGTACGCAACAACAAAAGTCGATGAAGCATTTGGACTAGAATATGATCACAAGAGAAGTGGAAAATATGCGATTTACGCAGGACCATTTTTGTACATATCATGCGTAGCCTATTGGAGTGTCGTCAATAAACGGTCTACAGAAAGCATGACTGATTCGTCGGCGTGCCATTGCGCCGACCCCTTGTTCCCCTTCGTTGTCGTCGTTCATGTTTGATAGTGGAGCAGCGGACCGCTGAAACCGTGGCTGGGGTTCATTCGCAGGGCGCTCAGGCTTTTGCTGTACCAGTCGTCCGGATCACATGGATTTGCCAGGTTGGACATTGAGGGTGCCATGTTGAAGTGCGACGTCGGCGGTGCGTAATTTGGCGGGGCGGTCGGCTGGTAGGGCGATGGCCGGGAGCACATGGCCATCGGCATGCTGGCGTGCGGAATCGAGTACGGCTGGTAACTGAAACAGCAACGGTTAGGTACAAAGTGAGTACGGGAACACTTGCTCATAGTTCTTCGTGTACCATCGCTGAGGAATCGTCGGCGTGCTGTACATGTTACGTAACACGGGGCTGGTGCAATGGGACGGGAGTACGGGCGGAGCGATCGCCTTTTGCAATTGTTTCTCTTGTTTACGGTACTTTGCACGTCTGTTCTGGAACCACACCTGAAAGACACGGGAAAAGTAATAAACGAGGTCCGGACTGAGGTCGTTGTGCATAGTTAGGTTGTACAGCTATCAGTCAGACTAAGTCTAAGGGGCCAAATTGCTGCATATAGATACAGTAGTACGGGATAAAGAATATAATTTCTTTAAGCAAACATCCATCTGCACCTTCTGTCTTCTTGCCTTATCAGTTGTTGCCTTCGCTGGTGACAGATCAGCCTACGGGAAATGAGAAACCGTTATTTAAATTGTGATTTAATTTTGGAGGATGTGGTCATAACTTACCACGCTGACCAGGCGGATCGGCGAGGTCACCACTTCCACTTTGCTGGGTACGTATCTCAAGTTTTCATGCTGTAACTGAACATGCCAGATTCTAGAGGATTAGCTGTACCTCGTCTTGGGAACCCGTGTCACCCTCATACCACGTTGAGGCAGTGGAAGCAGGATTAGTGAAGGAATACATTAGACTCGGTTACACGCGGGAGTAACTGACAAGCCAGCTATACATCGAGATGAACGATGGGATGAGATGAGGAAGTATGCTGGATAAAGATGGATAAAAGTACCAGAAAACAGAAATCCATAGCAAGGTCTTTGGGAAGCCGCCTTCATTCATCAGTGCATAGAAAAAGGCTGAAAATGATAAAGTGAACGTTTTCTTGCTTGCGATTACTCAATTACTCTTGCAATGCCAACTGGAATTTACCAAATCAGTAATGCTACATGGCAAAATTAACTGTTCGTCTTTGTCTTCATAATCTTTATTGATTGTGGCCTTAATATATCGATAGAGAAGGGTCCACAACAGGTCACTTTGAAGTTCACACTACTCAAAGAGCGACTCAAATGTGGCAGGCAATCTTCTTGCTCCTTCACTTGCTTGGGGTAAGGATTCAGGAAGCAGGAGGGGGGTTGTCATTTGAACCTTGTCCCCAAGTTCCACTGCGCTTGATATTTCGCTCTCAGTGAATCGTTTCGCCAGTGCTTTAAAATTCAGATCGAATGCTGGAGGATTATTGTAGGAAAGCTGCAAGGCAGGCGGCCAAACGGCAGACCCATAAACGCCAAATATTCCAAGCACATTTAACATATCAAACACCTGACAAAATCGCGTCTTCACCCGGAGTTGTGGAGTTAGCGTGATTGGCAGAAAGCAGTATCGTTGAAATGCCTCATAAGACCACATTGAAACAGCATGCTGCGATGATGAATGAATATGATTGATATGATGTTTTGATAAACTAGTTGTGCGCAACTGCAGAAAGTTAGTAATAATTAAAGTAGCTGTTCCACGTGCTTATTA